GTTGTAAATGTTTTTAATTCTTTAAGGTATTTTTAAGCATACTTAATTTCTTTTTAATGTATAATTCCATTTTTCACATAGTGAGTCCCTTCCTTGGGAGGAAGGTAAAGGTTTCCCTTCGGAGGAAGGTAAAGGTTCCCCTTAACATTTAGTCCAGTCGTGTCCGACTCTAGGGCACGGTGCTCCTTCCCATTTCCAAGCCATAGAGCCAGCGTTTGTCCGTAGGCACTTTCCGTGGCCACTTCGCCAGTTCGATGAAACACGGAACGCTGTTACCTTCTCACAGTGATGGTACCTATTTATCTACTCACATGTACATGTTTTCAAACTCTTATGTTGGCAGGAGTTGGGACAAGCAACAGGAGCTCACTCCGTCGCGTAGATTTTATCTTCAAACTGCTAGTCTTCTGACCTTGCAGCACACAGGCTTCTGTGGTTTAACCCGCAGAGCCACCGTGTCCCACACCTCGGGAGGAAGGCAGCCCACAAGTAGTGGGTTGTTTGAGGTTTTCCAAAAGTGAGTGTGGGGACACCAGGAATTACTTTCCCACCCCTCCAAAGCCTGGATTATTCTAGCATCCTGTTGTTGACAGAGGGTCCCTGGTTGCCTCAAGGAAGCTGAAAAGGAGAGACAGTGGGTCACTATTAGCCCTTTCCCTCCCCCTGTTCTTTCCCAGCAACTGAGGTTTGGAGGCCTCTCTTCCTGGAGGGAGCACGTGGCCAAAGTGACTGGTAGCCCTTACTTCGTGGATCCCTACCATATGAGACCGACCAACTTCTCTTCAGTTGTTCCTTGGGATTGAGGAGGTTATCTTTATTAATCCTATGAAGAAGGCCTCCTTTCTTTTCCATTTTTAGGGTCCAGTGACCTATGAGGAGGTGGCCGTGCACTTCACCCAGGAGGAATGGGCACTGCTGGATCCTGACCAGAGGGCCCTCCACCAGGAGGTCATGGAAGAGATCTGGCAAATGGTATCCTCTCTTGGTAAGGCTCTCTTCTTCTCTGGTTGATTCTAATCTCCATCGTTACCAGTGTTATAACGACTACCAACAATAACAACAATAATGCTTCCATACTAGGATGGTGTCCCAACTGACTTTAGCCACTGCGATATTGGCAAATTTATTGCTACAGTGATCCCACGGAAAATAACAGTAAAGCTATCAAGAAGCATATTAAGCTAAAAGAAAACCAGTATTAAGATTTAAAGGTCCTCATACAGTCCTAATTCAGTATAAAGGCCTTCACTTGGATGTTATAAAGAGTATAATGTTGGTACCAGGTGTCCATGAAGGAAATCATTATGTTTCTCTTAACTTTTTAAAATTAGTTTATAGATGTGATGGAAATCAAAAAGGGGGAAAAGGACAATGTATGATAGTACTTGAAAGGCTGACAATTTCGTCTCTCCATTAGAGATTTCTTGCCTCAAAATCCACGTCTTAAGAAAACTTTTTTTCGGTCTCTAGATCTGTTCATCTCTCCAGTTGAGCCTTTTTTGCATTTGTCGTCCTTTCCTGCAGATAAATGGAGGGAGAAAAAGGTATGCCCCGGATATGAAAAGACGTGTACACACAAATTAGAGGTTGCAGGACACCCGAGAACACACAGACAAGAAACCTGTACCCAAGAGAAGCCATACAAATGCATCATGTGTGGGAAACATTTTCCTCTGATGTTAGGACGGATGGTTCACAGAAGTGTCTGCACGGAAAAGAATACCTTTTTGAGCAAAATGTCTGGGAAATGTTTAAACTGCAAGGAACGCTTTCTGAGCCATCGAAGAGTTTACACAGGAGAAAAACTGCACATATGCCAGGAGTGTGGGAAATGTTTTGCTTGGAATTCACAACTTTTGCGTCATATGAGGATCCACAACGGAGAGAAACCCTACAAATGTCAGGAGTGTGGGAAATCTTTTGCTCGGAATTCAAAACATGTTGTAAGTCATAAGAAGGTTCACACAGGAGAGAAACCCTACAAATGTCAGAAGTGTGGGAAATGTTTTGCTTGGAATTCACAACTTTTGCGTCATATGAGGATCCACAACGGAGAGAAACCCTACAAATGTCAGGAGTGTGGGAAATCTTTTGCTCGGAATTCAAACCTTCTAAGACATACGCGAGTTCACACAGGGGAAAAACCCTACAAATGTCAGGAGTGTGGGAAATGTTTTGCTTGTAATTCACAGCTTGTGAGTCATATGTGGGTTCACACAGGAGAGAAACCCTACAAATGCCGGGAGTGTGGGAAATGTTTCACTATGAATTCAAACCTTTTGAGTCATATTAGGATCCACAAAGGAGAGAAACCCTACAAATGCCAGGAGTGTGGGAAATGTTTTGCTCAGAATTCACAGCTTGTGAGTCATACGCGAGTTCACACAGGAGAGAAACCCTACAAATGCCAGGAGTGTGGGAAATGCTTCACGTGGAATTCAGCCCATTTGCATCATATGAGGATCCACAAAGGAGAGAAACCCTATAAATGCCAGAATTGTGGGAAATCTTTTGCTCGGAATTCACAGCTTGTGACTCATATGCGAGTTCACACAGGAGAGAAACCCTACAAATGCCAGGAGTGTGGGAAATGTTTTGCTGGGAATTCACAGCTTGTGAGACATAAGAGTGTCCACACAGGAGAGAAACCATACAGATGTCAGGAGTGTGGGAAATGTTTTGCTCAGAATTCACACCTTGTGCGTCATATGAGGATCCAAAACTGAGAGAAACCCTACAAATGCCAGGAGTGTGGGAAATGTTTTGCTCAGAATTCACAGCTTGTGAGTCATACGCGAGTTCACACAGGAGAGAAACCCTACTGTAATGAAGTTCTTCCTTAGCCGGGGATGCACTGGTAGTAAAGGCAGGAAAAAGACAAAGAGGCTCTTCGGAAATTCTAACATTAACATTTTTATTGGTAACAGAACTCAACTCAGCAGTGTCAAAAGGGTCTTGCAAACCATTCTCTGGCAACAACTTATACTTTTTAGGGCGCACGTCTGGTGGCTTGTCCATCTCTCCTAAAAGGGAGCCGGTCCGAACCGTTCTCGATCTGTCATGGGTCTGAGGGGGGCACTCCGTACTGCACACACCGTTCCACAGCACGGATGCCTGGCCCAATCTCCCTCTAGGGGTTTCTGTTGGGAAACAGGTCCAGGCCGGATCACCCTCGTCCCACCAGGGTGATTCCGAGGATAGACCACTGCCATCCATTCTAGAGGATTGTACCCCTTTCCTCTCCTGCTGGGTATTATCGGATCTGGGAGCAAACCTCCTCCTAAGGATAGGTTAGGAAAATCCACGGTTATACCCGTTGCGACGCCTGCTCTGAGCATGGGCTCTGTCTGGATCCCTCGGCTTATCTTTCAATCTGGATCTTCATCTGTCCAAAGTCTAAAAATGCGCTCTCTCCTTTCCTCCTTTATATCCTCCCACACAATGAGGTCTAGCTCCTCCCCTCCGTCGTCAGCCAGACATACTTCTGCCGGTTTTTCTTCTACTACCATTAGAGGTTACTAGGCGCTCCTCACTTGTGAGGCTGGGTCTGGAGGCTCTCCATGTGTGGATTGGGGCCAGGGATGGTATTGGGATCTTGCTGGGTTACCGCGCTCCCAGCAACCCAGCCACCTCCCTACCGGAGCTGGTGGACTTTGTCTCCGCGGCACTGTTGGAGTCCCCGAGACTTTTGGTCCTGGTTGACTTTAACATCCATGCGGAGGCAGAGGTAGCCGGGCCAGCTCTTGAGTTCTTGGAAAC